TGGATCTACGGCTGTGAGAAGCCATCCTGTGTAGCTCGCAGGGTCATTGAGGCACGCAAGCCATCACACCACGTCCACATCCAAATCCAATTGTCAGCACATGTCGACTGATAGAACTTACCTTACCTTGGGCAAAAGAAATTATCATAGGTTAGCACCTTCATTTAGGCGACTAGATTGTGATGTCAATCACTAATAGAATGCTACTGGTCAGGTGATCACTGATGAAATTTGGAGTGGTCACCATCTTCCCAATTTGATTGGTAAGCAGTTTTACCATCTCCCGACTACATATTACATACAGTTTAGTGGGGCTATACATGAAGTTTGCCACTCCAGAAGTACCGGGTTGCTAGTTACCACAAGTGAGTGTTGATTACTTTTGACTATGGGGTTTACTATTTCTGCTGATTTCCACGCAACGGCATGGAGTAAAAACTAAGCTAGCAAAATTCAGACGTATGTTAAGCCAGCACAAGACCTATCACTTAGCGGTTTGACTGAGACCAGTCGGCCAAAGTAATAAGGCACTGAGAAACAATAGGACACAGCCAAGCCACTTACCATATTTGGACAACAGGGAAATACAATGACCAGTGAACTCGGTCAGCTCCAGTTCCGGAAGAGATGTGTTCTGAATTGCCCGTTCGAACCAACTGGCCGATTTGAACTGGGCAAAATGATCTAGCAGTTGAGCACTGACCGTAGCTGGAAACAAGCGCGCGCACACACAAGGAAGAACATGTTAAAGGGTGACCGAGATACATGGAATCAATCAAGATTTTGACTAACCATTACGTGCATACACTATTTTAGACGTTTTATATGTTTTTATGGTGTTTTATTGATTATCCCACACCACTACTCATAAGTAACTGTGAGTTAAAATTTTTAGATGGTTAAATGGAAGCTAACAACATCGTCATTTTATTTCAGCACCGTAACCAAACCTCACTTTACTCAAACGATTCACTTCGATGATCGAAACATTGTTATTTGCTTTCCATGCTAAAGATAGATAACTCCAAAATATCTTTTCGTAACCAATCTTCTCAGTGAACATTTTACGCCAAAGAAATATATCTGGGAGGAATGTCAGTTGACTTGTTCGCTGGGGTTAGCAGTGTTTTTGGAACGGCTCATCAATAACCGGGATGAAATACCATCAATATAGAAAGAAAACAAATGTTGCAAGATGTTAACATTTCGTTTAATCTACTCAAACGCTAACTTAAGACAAACAAACATATATACATAGCGAATGGGGTTGTTCAATTATGGTGAATGAAATAGCGGATGACTGCCGGAAATCAAATCGCGTCCGTCATCGTGGCGTCATGCTGCACCGTTCAAAGGATCTCCGCAGATTACCTTAAAGAAAAAAGGACCTCCATGACGATTGTACCTATTCGTTCTTATGCGCAAGTGATGCACTGAAGGTTGACTGTCATATTTCTGCCCAGTCGAATGTTAAAACATCGGAAATCGGTATGGGAACCATTCCCGTTCATCTGGGTGATAGGAACATGAAACCAAACTGTAAAGTCAATGTCATCCAACCCGTGTCCCGAACAGTGCATTGAAAAGTAATAGAATTACCATTTGTTTTTTATTATATTTCCATCAAAACTTCTCAGGACACAGTCGAGGATCCTACTAGTTCTTGGTCTAGTGAAAAACCTTGCTGCCTGGTACACCTGCCGGGTTGTGTCTCAAATGTTTTCCACTGGATTTAATCATGAGCGATAGGCAGGTCACACCATAGTTTTGATGCCACTGAACAATAAACAGAGTTCTGCCCATAACGAACGATGAACTGTAGCATTATCATGTCTCAAAGGAGCCGCTATACGATTGATACCAATGTACGAATGTGTATATTAGATTCTCGCACCCTACTCGGTAAAGCGAGTATAGTAGGACCGTGAAGCATAAAGACACTATACCGTTATGGAATTTATATCGTTTCTACTTTCTTTATAAATATTACGGCAGTAATAATTCCATGGGAAACGGTGGGCTTCTTTGTGTACAAATAAGAGGAGACGTCGAATGAGGAATTAGGAAGCGTCATACTGATATCTCAACCCTGCTTGACTGCAGCAACACGGAGAATGCATCGACCCGACCAGGGATCGAACCCGGGACCTCACTGATGAAAGGCAAGCATACTACACACCTGGCCATTGGGCAGCTGGCCCAACTGTTGGGCTTTGCATATATGAGACATAGCACAATCTGTTGTATCTTGTTATGGACAATATGAAACAGTCTAATCACCTGCTCAGAGGCCAAGCGAGTAGTATACTTGCCTTTTACCCGTGGAGTCCCCAGTCCACAGCACTCAAATGCTCTCTGACTTTTCAGTTCAAGTTTCGCTTGCTCTGTACATATAGAATCTATCTTGTACGTCCCACTACTTAGTGGTGATAGATTGGATTTCTCTCATCACTAAAGTAGACGGTGTATCAGTATTAGGCTCCCGGAGTGGGGACCTCGGGCTCATTGTGATCAGGGGTTGAAGAAACTGAGTGATATCGCTGAGTGTCGTAAACAGTGGCACCTGTGCATTTTCGCAATTTGCTTGCAATCTTAGTCTACTGGAATTCTCCGTTTTCTCTCCAACTCTAAAAGCATAAAGCAGACAAATTCTGGATTGCTCAATATCAGTAAGCTTCTTCCAACGCGCCTTTCCTGACAAAGACTTGCAGTGTCTTAGTTTTCTCAAGTGGTATGGGTAAACGACCACTTTCACCAAGGTGCAGCACGACCAGCCCATCGACCAAAGACTAAACACGATTGACAAAATAAGAACACAGGATAACTGGACCACTCGTCTTCGAGTCAAAGTAGAAGTCCTAGGGTTTAAGGGGTAGAATGCTTTTGTTGCTGTTAAAATTCTAGCTTACACAAACCTAATTTCGTCGTGTATGAAGCAAACCAAGCGTTAAATGAAGAACGAGGAATCGCTGGACCGTTATGTTTATCCTAAGTGGACCCTATCAGCAGTGCCAATCTATGGACTTAACTGAGGAGCCAATTCGAAATCTCTCAGGTAGAACTACGTTCTACCCACTTGGCTACCGGGCTACTGAGCAGACCGGTTTTCATCTTGTCAATACACAATATAAAACAACCCATCTTTACCAGCTTGTCACGGGTATTTCATCTCCCTCATCCCAGCATCAATCTCCAGGATGATGATCACTAGAATGAAAACATTTCAACCGGATTACTGGTTACATGAAAGAACAAGAGGCTTCGGTTCCATTATATAGCGGATTTTGCCGCATACAGATCTCGGTGCCAGGCGGAAATCCTTATTCAATCAGATCAAATCCTCAACTACTCTCAAGCAAAGACATGATTTGGTGATATTTCATGGTTCCGCCTTCTATTTCGTTGCTGTCTAGGTTATCAAAATTATCATCTTGTAAATGGGAGCAGAAATAATAAAAAACGGTGGTGGTGCCGTATTTTTATCGCGGGATGCATGGTGTCATTTCGATAAGACATGGGGAATATACCTGTGATTCCCAGTCAAATAGTTTCAAGGACGGAAAAAGAAGACCGCAGAAAATTCGCTATTATGCATTGCATGGAAGCCAAACAACAACAACAACAACAAATTATTAATAGATTGACGAACGCTATCTTACCGGGACCGAGTGCATGAAGTTGTTCCAAACAGGTGTAGCACGCCTGTAACATTTGATAGTCATGGTAATTCAGGGCGGCCTCCGAATCCGTTTCAGCCAGACACAGTGCAGTGCCTAACTGTAGCGTGTATAGCGTACCCTTCTTGTCCAAAAGAAAGACCTGATGCATACCGCGAAGGCGATCAAGCCTATGAGGTTTGGACGAGCGAGGGTCAAACAAGGGGCATAACCGCAGGGTTCTGTGAGGCCTGACCATAAGCAATGGAAACTGTGATACAACCGAAACCCAGCAGAACAGAAGTATAATATAACTGAATTGGCAGGCCCTGCACAGAGCTTACAAATGGACAAAGATTTTCCTATTTTGCGTAACAAATAATTAACAAACAGATGAACTCCGGATCAGTGATCTCGTGACCCAAAAAATAATATGTGCACCGGGTGTGGAATCGCCATAAGAACAACAAACCTTTTGATTGATTACCTGGACTATTGATTCGCACAAGTCCTGATTACCAGGGGTATTGTATGCATCTTAAGAATGCGAAACAAAAATTTCTAAATAGAATAAATATTAAGCTACCTCTTTCCCCTTTAGTGTAATGAGCAGTGGGAGAGTAGAAAATAAATGATGAGAAACAATCGTGAATTTTACGATAATCGGCCACTCAAGCTATGTAATGTGATTTGGCC